AGAAATTTTAAGTTTATTAATTGGCTAAATATACTTACTACTTGTGGCATCTTCCTTAAAATTGTCCCACTCCCAATTATAGTTTTTTTGTTGTTATATCTTAAGGTATGCAATTGTTTTGGCTTTAAGTGTGTGTGTGTGTGTGTTGGACTTTCTAGAGAGCGTATCCTTCCTTCATTGAGGTTTTTCCCCTTGGAGTAGAGTAAATACCAAGAGCAAATTTTTAAGTTAGGCCAGATGGATACCAGGGGAGAAACTTGGGGCAAGTGTCACATGGAAAGTTCTGAAGATGGCAATACATCATAATTAGATGAATAAGGATAGAAGGGGAGAATTGGAGTAGTATTGCATTTCTGAATTTAGGTAAGACATGATGTGGAGAAATTAGAAAGATAATAGCTTTTAGTTCAGTCATCGAGTTTAGAATATATTTGTAAGTAAAACATGGTAGAATATTCAATTATAAATCCTTAACAAGAAGCAAGTTCTTGGTATTGTTGGAAGTTTAAGAAGAACCTAAAATGGTATTCTTGGTTCATTCCCACCTTTTGGAGAATGAGATTAATAAGCAATGAAATAGAAAGGATCACCATACGGTTGGCTTGTGAGCCTTGGCATCCTTTTAGGTGTCTGAATTCCAGGATCCACTCTATATGGAGAAGAAGCCATGCCAGGAGCTAAGAAAACCCAGTGGCCTACAGTGGACAACCTCACTTTGTGCCAGTGGCCCTGGCCTCAGGTAATTAGAGGAAACTTAGTGTCTTCCCCATGATTAGTTAAACTCATGTCAATCCAATTGAATTTAAATTAAGTTAACTAGGTTAAAACAATTTACTTTGTTGCTAAGTATTTATTGCTAAGATTAGACATATTCTAGAACTACACTGTTCAACACAATAGCCACTACTTGGTATGTGGTTATTGAACATTGGAAATATGGCTAGTCTAAACTGTGATGTGCTCTATGAAATATACAACAGATTTTGAAGATTTAGCACACAAAAAAGAGTGTAAAATAACTCATTAATATTTTTATATTGATTGCATATTGAAATGATAATATATTGGATATATTAACTTAAATAAAATATATTATTAAATTAAATATATTATTATATTAAATATGTTAATTTAAATTAATTTCACCTATTTATTTTTCTTTTTTTTTAAATGTGGCTACTAGAAAATTTAGAATTACATATATGGCTCAGATGTTTGTGGATTGCACTGTATTTCTGTCAGATAGAGCCATTTTAGGGTATTTTGGGGGGAGAAAAAAAGGATTATAATTATCCAATGTTAAAATTAAACACAGAAACCAAACTTGCATATTCTCTGGGCAGACAAAATAAGTTAGTCATGTAAGCAAATGTTTTAGCTTACTTCATAAGACAAGCAAGATTAACTTAACCTGGGTGACTTCTTGCTTATGCTTCTGACAATCACAAGCAAAACTTAAATCGTTTGCCAAAATTGATAGGAGGTAACCACTAACCAATTTCCATTCAGTTAAGAAAATTCTAACATTTTAGCCAATCACTGTAAAGAATAAACCTTCATCGCATTTACACTATATAAGTTGTTTTATAACAATATATCTCTAAGCCTCATTCCATATTTTAGTTTAAGTGCTCCTGGTTTGCAAACTTTTTGGTACATGCACAATAAACTTTCAGAAATTACTACTTCAGTGATTTGCTGGCTTTACTTCTGTTTTTTGTTTGTTTTATTTGTTTGTTTGTTTTGTTGTTGTTGTTGTTGATGTACTTTTGACCTCAGGCTAACAAATTTGGGCCTGTCGGACCTTCCAAGGGGACCTCAACCTTAAGCCTCTCACAAAAACCCTCTGTTTCTGAAAACTGGGAGAGACCGTTGGGAAAACCATAGTGCCTGCCTCTCTACCCTGTCTCTAGCTTCCTAAATTTCCTGCAATCATGTCTGGTTTATCTGGATAAATGCATTTCTCCTGGGGGGGCAGGCAGGTATCTCCATGGAAATATTAAAAAGAGAAGCAAAAGCAAACTATAGCTTTTATTCTTCATTTGGCCTTGAAAGACAGAATCAATCTCAAAAATATCGAACAACTTTGAAAGTTAGTATGGTTTACTGAAGAAGGAATAAATTAATTACCTGACAGATATTGCTAGGTAATTCTAGAGGTAGATTTGGCAGGGTGCCTGTGTCACAGGTGGTAAATGATGAAACCAAGAGTGACATATGTGAAGTGATATCTGTAGGTGGCAACTGGGAGTGAATGTGTTACCCCCAAGAATGTGGGAATAAAGGAAATCAGTTGCCTTCTGAAAGCTGACTGTAGAACTTACACAGCTAAAAAACAGGGTTCCCAATTCAAGTGCCTATGGTATCTATAAGAGTGGGCCTAACTTCTGGATTGAGATTTAAATGTCTACCCACAGAAGCAGCTGGAATTCTACTTCGTACTTGTGCTGTATGGGCCCACTATTATCAAACCTGATTTTTAAAGAGAAAAACTAGATGATTAAGTGTTGGCAGCTAATCCTAAAAAAATTTAATAAGTACTTTAAAGTCTGAACCAAATAACCTTCATCTTAAAATGAACAAACTCCTTTGTTTTACTTTGTATTTACTGAACAAACTTTTGATCACATTTTTAATGAAAATCAGTCTACACTGAGAATTAAGTGCCATTTACAGGTACTGACCATATGCCAAAAACCCCAATGCAAGGTAGTTGTTCTGATCAGAGAGCTTAAGTAACTCCTTGGTCACAGAGCTCCCTGAGGGTTGCTATTGGGATTCTAACCTAGGTGACTGTTTTTGGTGCCTCTGTTTTGTCATTCTAGGTATCTGCAAACTGGTTAATGTTTTGGTGAATGAAAAATTTTCAGATCACCCAGTAAGAGTGGATTTATATTGATATACACCCTACTGGCCTGCTCTGTTTCTCTTCTTCCCCAAGACCAAGTCTCATAGGTCCTGAGTCCAGTATGAATATCTGGGTATCTATAATAATTGTTATCTACCACTGTGAAATCATCAGTTGGCATGCCGGTAATCTAATCCTATGATTTTGGCTAATCCAAGTACATTCCTGAGAGGCAGATCCTCTCACTGAACACTAAGTAATTTAGTTTCTAACACTGGGAGATTGGTGGCCAGATCAGACAGGTGGTAAACTCACCTAGGAAAATGTCCCTAGTAAACTGGGAAATAATACCTGGTTTTTATCAACAATCTGAACTGTGTAGAGACCTCATCAGAAAGCACATTTTTGAGTCATTTCCAATTTCTTCTTTATTAACATGTTAAAGGAATGAAAAGTTCCCATAAATCTAGTTTCACTGGAAAAGCAACCTAGCCTATCCAGCGAATATAGCACACCAGGGGACTTTGATTTGAGAAACAATGTCCTTGCTGGGCCTAGGAATTACATGAAAATCCCTGTCAACAGATACCTTTATAAAAACAGCTGCTTTCTAGGAGCACCTTATCCTCCTCATATTTGTTTCACACTGCAAAACATGTCTTAAGACAATCCCTTTCCAACTGAAATATCTAAATCCAATTGAAAACCCCCAATAGAAGCTGCTGACAGATGACAATATGACAGGAAAAAAAAATCAAGAAATTTGAAAAAGGGAGTGGGCAAGTTTGTTCAAGGGAGCAAGGAAGTGGTGTGAGGAAAAGTGGCCAGAAAGGCCATCTCAGCCTCCCAAACTATACTAGCAGGACAATCCACCAAAGAGCTGAGTGGAAAACCCAAAATCAAACCTCTGTTGAGGGAGTTTTGTCCATAAAAATGAATAGATGGTTTCAATGAGTTGTTTGGCTGTGTTGGTATAGTCTAGTTGCAGTAGAAATTCTGGACATTGAAGGTTGCTGTTCTTCTGACGATTTATTTCTGGAAAGTGTGTTAGAGAAGTGAATGTACAGAGGCAGAGTGAGAACGCACTATGGAATTCAAGTCCAAGACCATCCTTCTCCAATGACTCCATCAGGAAGCAGTGCATGAGCACATGCAGGAAAGCTCCTGTAATTTAATGTAATACATGTGATTTAGAGCTTGTCTAGACTTTGTATTAGAGGGGCTTGGCTGAAGGTCTACTGAGTTTAAGAAGCCCTCTTTTCCGACTGGTGGATCTTGACTTACTTTTTTTTCTAAGAAACTAATTAGGTCATCTGATATGAATTTGGAGATAACCCTAAGTTAGAATTTCACATTGGAGTATTTTTTTCAAGTCATCAGAGAGAGTAACCCTCAGCAGCAAAAGATGGTTTGTGGAGGGAGAAGAAAGCTCCCTGAGCTCTTCACCAAACTTTCAAACCAGAGAGAGACTTTCTCTTTTCCCTTGCCTTTTCTCTGAGACCTCATGAAACCAAGAGCTGGGTTATTCCTGTGGATTTTTGGAAAATTGATACTGAGGGTATCATGCAAAGTGAAACTATGTCAAGAGAGTAAAAGTTAGGTCTGTACTCAGATTTTGTTATTTTAATGCCCTTTTCCCATTACTTATTATATACTGGATGTGTCTTCTAATTAAATTATTAAAGTATTAAATTATTTAATCATCCAAACCTCCTTATGAGTTAGTATATTTCATCTAACAGGTGAAGAAACTGAGGCATAGATGAGTTACATAACTTGCTTTAGGTTAAAAAGCAAAGTCCATGAAGTATTGGGATCAGAAACCAGTTAACTGTGCTCCAGAGTACAACAAAGCACTAGACTGTCTCATGTTGAGACAAAGAAATCTGGGGGAGGAGTGTCCTAGGAAGGCAAGATTTAAACTCTGCCACGAAGTCAGGATTGTGAGGTCATCCTGTCAGCTTGCTGTAACATCAAGGCTGGGCAGATGAACCTGTGAGAGCATCTCTGCTGGAGTCTTTTGGTGAAGAACAGGGGAGTTTCAGGAAGTTTTTGGAATCTATTTGACTTCAGTACTTGAGAATTAGGTCCCATCCTCCCTCCCTTGCTAAGTAACACATGAAAGGAGAGGCAGGATTTCTAGGCACCTCACCATATTTCAAGTTCCAGATTGGTGATATTGACGTCGGGGTCATCAAAAGCACAGGTCAGCAAGTGCTGGGTTCCATCCACTTCCAACTGACTGTAGCAAGAGAATGAATAGTCATCCAGTTCGGCATCTTCAAACTCTCCTGGGGAAGAACAAATCTGCAACTGTTAATGAAGCAAATGAGTGCCTCCTTTTGAAATCTGGAGTGACATTAAAGAAATGGTAGCCTTTTGGGGCAGACACGAAAGAATGATTATAAGTTTATTTAAAGAAGAAAAGACCAAGGGAAAAGACAGAAAAACCAGTACCAATACCCAAACCGAAAAGAGCCCAAATCCATACCAAATTCATCTCTAGTGAGCACAGATTTTTCTAACAGGGAACAAAATCATCATAATTACTAAATAACCTCCAAATATTTCTAAATATTTCTGCTATTGAGTTAGTGCACCAGAGATCTAGAATAAAAAAATATACTAAGTATACTCTTTCTTTAGAATAAAATACTAAATATACTCTTTCTTTTTTTATACTGTTAATTTCTTCTGTTAAATGGTACATTTCGAATATGAGATACTTTATCTCCATTATTCAAATGTTAACTAATCTAGCCCTTGACTTTATCACTAATCTTCACTTATTTACTCCCAAGTATTTCTTTTTTGAATGAAGGAAAATGAGAACCATCTTACAGTCAGAAGTTTACTTTTTAAGGGATAGCTTTTCCTTGCCTAAATAGGCATCCCAACCAAAAGTGTAATTGATTATCTCCATTGTATGAATATTTATTTAAAGCAATTTGTCTTAAGCTACTAAGGCAAATGTGGTTAATAAAAATTAGATCTGCCAGGACTCAGAGTAGTAGACCTTTGCATGAGTCCTATAGGTACTGCTCCTATAGGTATATGGATCCTTCCTCTATAGATATTATATCTTAAAGACATCAGAATTCTGGAAGTATGGAGGGAACCAGAATTTTTTTCAGCCACTTTTGGGCAGTACAATCTGTCACAGATAGTACTAAATTTCTTAGACTGGGTTGAGGACCCTAAGATTAAACAGACATTTTGTATATATATATTTCACAGTATTTAATAAAAAAATTGTCAGCAAATACACTTGGACTGGGACCTGAAAAATATCCAGCGTAACTGAAGCCATTCTCAGAATGGTCAAATGTGAGCCTGTGATGGCTTCTAGGTCCATCAATACGAGAAATTACTTTGACCCATCAACAACAGAAATTAGAATCTCTTAGGGTTTTAAATAGGATATAGAATGTACTAAAATTAAACCCCAGTTGAGTGTATTGAATGCAATGAAATATAGAAATAGCATCTTCTTTATTTCAATAACTAACTAGGTCTGTGAGAAAATTAGTAAAGCTGGTTGTGAGTGGACCAACTAGCTGAGTGACAGGTTGGTTCAGTTAAAGCCACAAATCTTGAAAAGCTAGATCTATATAAGAGCTGTTGGCACTTCTCTTTCTGACCATTCCTAGAACTCACTAGGCCCACAATTCTGCCACTAGCAAAGACTTCTTATGTAATTTCAGCAAGGTATAGCCTTCTTCCTGATGACAGTTTTAAATAATGAAGGGGAAACCCATCATTTAGGGCTCACATTTTAAAACATGTTCATTCCTAATCTTATAGGACTAAGCTCTTGTCTCCTAAGAACTGGCTGTTTTCTCAGTGGAATGGTTCTAGGTGGCTTTAGCCTGCCTTTACTCAGCAGTCCTCACTCTGTCTTGACGTTTTCTCTTCTATAAATCTTCCACCAATCCTATACAACAGAACCTACATTACTGTTTGGATTCAGGCTTCTGTGGATCAGCTTTGTCTCCAAAATTCTTTGAGATCAGTATAAGCCAGAGAGAGAACACAGTCTAGCAGATGCTGAGCACCAGTAGAACAAAGCACTCCTACCTACCTTAGCCATCCTGTCTGGTGGAGAGAGTCTGATGTACATTTTCATACAATATACAAAGCACTGGTCATACAATTAAAGTGACTATGTTTTGAGAAGCAGTTCATTGGCTCTTTAGCCAATAAAGTTGCTTTGTAACCAAGAAAATTTCCCCTCAACAACTTGCAAAATTGCAAGACATTTTACAAAGAGAATATTATACTTGATCTAAGCTGAAAAATCTTTAGGTAAAGGTTGTATACATAGTGGTTAAGGCCTCTGGCACCACAGCTGGACAGATATGGATTTAAATTCTTATTATTCTACTTTTTAGCTGTGGTCCTTGTCAGGTTACTCAACCTCTTTATGTCTCATTGTTTCAATATGGAAATTCACATTATTTTGAAGAATGATTGAACAAAATATATGCAAAGACTTAGCTTAAAACACAGTAAGCACCCAATAAGGGTTAGCTATGACTATCATCTTTTTGTTGTTGTTGTTTTTGAGAAATAATAAACAAAAAGGTAAAATAAGAATTCTAATTCTGAAATATATGTGAAAAATTTGGGGGCTCCTTTGAAAAAGAATTTTATGTCAAAAGTATTATTACTATGGCTTTGAAATTACATAGAACTTTTAAACAGTGAGTTAACATATCCTTCTTTAAATGCTCACTATCTAAGCATATTTTTCTATAAAAATTTAATTATTTGAATATGTATTATAGACAAGGCCATGTGGTTTAGAAATCTTTCTATTGAAAGAAATTAGTTAATTAAAAGCATAAATGGCTTGGATTTTTAAAAAATACCCCTTTCTTTTTTTGTTCATCCTTGTGGTGATCAAAGAATGAATCTTTCAACAAATAGCAGCTGATTATTATATAACCCAAACTGAAATGTGTTTTCAGATGATCAACGTGGATGAGTGGTTAGATCTCCTAAATCCATCTGAAATTTAAAAAGTTGAAGTGAAAACTCCGTTTTCAATTAGAATTCTTATTTCTTTGAAAAAAATAAAAGTATAGCCACCAGGAAGAAATAGAGGGAATAGATTATAATCTGAAGAGTAAGAATTAGGTGTTACTTGCCAACCACTTATCTGTGCAAACACTAGGCAACACTTTCAAATAATAATCATCCTCACAAAGAGATTCATACATGGTCATGCTGTGAAAAATGTCAGCCCTCTGATAATTCCCCTAGTGAAAATATTAGGAATTTCCACTCTTAGTAAATACATGACTTGACATATCTAAGCTGAATCATTAGGCTGATGTATTTGATAACCTTGGTAAGAAAATCCTTTTTAACTCTTAAAGTGATAGGACTTAATTATCAGGAACAAATGGGTGGTCCAAATTCCCAGTTGGCTCCTGTTGCAACTGTTTTGCCTTTGTCTACAGTCCTGTTGTAATTACAACCTGTTTACTAAGTAGGCTTAGCACTGGCTTCTAGGTGTTAAGTATTTCAAGAATCCCAAAGATCATTATAGGATGATAAATTTGCCAATATGTAGAAAATTAAATATATTTCAATGAGACAACTCATTCAGATCTTTCTCTGCTCAGTTATTCACTAAGAATCTCACATAAGTCTATCAAAACTAAAGTATTTTGAAGAAATTTTCAAATACTCAATTCAAATACTGAATGTGTACATGTTCTAGACACTCTTTTAGGTGCTAGAGATATGGCATTGGTGAATGCAGACAAAGCTGTTGTTTCTAGAAATTATTTTATCACGAGACTCATGCTTTTGGAACCTCCTGAAAAGCTAAGCACAAGAAATCTAGCTTGATTTTTTAACAAGGTAAAACTTCTTTGGAGATTCTCCAATAAGCACAACCATTGTGTCTGTATGGGTATTCTTTTTGTAAGAGCAGAGGCATTGACCAACAATTAAGATCCACATTTAGAGAGTCAAATGCATTCTTTTCTGACAATTCTAAGACTTTATAAACCACCCACAGTATTGTCCCTAAGACCTCCCATCCTGGTGGTTAGAACTTATAAAATGACTGATTATGTGGTAAGGTCTCCAACTTCTTTCCAACCCAGTGTCCAGATCAGGTCTGTTAGGGATCTGAGTAACCTGAAGCATATGCTAGAGATAATCTGAAATCCTAAAGAAAAGTTAGAAATGACTCACCATTCTGTGCATAGCCACTTTCTCCAGAAACGGCTTGAAGTAAATAGAAAACCATACCAAAAGCTGTACCCAGAATCATCATTCTGAGAGAGAGAAAGAAAGGAGAGAGGAGGTGTGTGAGCCTATGTGTAGGAATGAATGAGAGAGAGCAGCAGTGAGAGAGAGACAGAGACAAATCTACAGCTTTGGCACTTTATACTTACTTAACCACACACAGGGGGAAGTATAAACACAGCAAAAAAGAAGGCAAGTGCCAGAAACAGGAAGTCTGAGTAAAAGTATTGCTGTTGTAAGCGGAGGTAGCGGAAATGAAGGGATAGAGCCTTTGAATTATTGTACCTCTTTGACATTCCTGTCAGCCCCCAAATTTATTCAGCTTATTCCAGAGTAAGATAACACATTCAAATCTAGCCTCAAACTACCTGAGACTAGAGTGTGAATAAGGTTCAATTAAAAAAAAAAAAAAGCAAGATAAAATTCTAAACTTAGAAATCTGATCAATTGATTGTCTGGGGTGAGTTTCTCTTTAAGGAAAGGTTCTGCACTTTATGAGGTAATATATTGTTATTTTAAATAGTTCACCTCCAATCTCTGAACATACACACTAGAGAGTTTCAGAAGAACAGCAATTTTGTTTGGTTTTCTGTGCGTCCCTAATACTTACTTATGCCTTGCTCATCAAAGTAGGCATTCAAGAATTATTTATTTAGTTCAGGAGGTGGCAAACTATGGCCAAGGGACAAAATTTGGTCCACCACTTGTTTTGCAAATAAAGTTTTATTGGAACAGAGTTACTGTTGTGTTACAACAGTAGAGTTGAGGACCTACTGCAGAAACTATATGGTACACAAAATGTAAAATCTTTATGCTCTGGTCCTTCACAGAAAAAAGCTGTTGATCCCTTGCTTATTGGATAAAACAGTTATTTTCTCTGTGTGTTTTTAGTTGGATTATATTTGTGAAAATGTTATTGCCACACAACATTTTGAGAACATATGGTATTCACAAACCACACTGGTACCTCCCTACACGTACTGGGCAAAAGCTTAGGACAATGACAAAAATAATTTAGACTCTCCCCAAAGTTGTCTGCCAAACAAAACTGCTCCCAGCCTGGCTCCTGGGTTAAAGTAGTCATATTTGTTAAGTCTAACGGACTTCCTGGTAATTGTTGTATCTTTTTCTTTAAACCACTATTATTTCACTCAGCTATTAGTATTCAAATGAAGGTGCTGCTTGATAGCAATCCTGTTATCAACAGACAGACAGGCCTTCCATAACACTGAGGACTGCTCAGGTCTTCACTGGCTTATCACCTGGACTGGAGCTATAAAATACCCCTCAACTCTTTTTTAGAAAAAAAGCCATAAGACTAAAATTACAAGATGATGAGTACTGAGATGTGGAGTAGAAAATGATAGTGAACTTTTGTTTGATTTACAGACATTGGGTAGATATTGGTCCTACAGGGCTGTAAAAGTGGCTGAATTAGCAAAGATGAACAACACCCCAAAGTGTAAAACACAGAGAGTCTTGAAAGCTGCGTGAGTTCGTGGATGTCATCATTATAGTTATTGTGACAGACTCATAAAATAAGAAAAGAAGAAGTGGGGCATCAGTACTAGTCTCTGGAAGCCTGTCTCCATTGTTGAGGAAGATCCAGTGAAAGAGAAGGGGTGCCCTGTTCATAAGATCATACTCTGGACTGCAAGCTCAAGGGACATATCAGAGCAATAAGCCAGCTGCATGGACACAATCTATCTCCTCCACCTGCTGAGGTTTTCTTTTGGCATTTTCAAACATATTTCAAAGAGTGACAATTTTGTGCATCAAATAATAATTTGTGCCCTCATTTCTAATCTTGTCTTGAAAGCTTGGCTAGAAAAACCACGAGTCTGATTCATGAAAATTGGTACGTTTTTGCAATGAGCTGAAGATCCTTTCAAGAAAGATATAACTATGAATTCCCGTAAACTAAATAAGTGTTAGAGAAGGAATCATGTATTGTATCTCTCCACCCACAGAGGTCCCATGGATTGCTCAGGTTGTCACTCTATGGGTGAGTAATTGGGCTGTGTCTCTTTAAATTCTCTTGTTTATCATTTTAGTGGACTATCATTTTGATTGTATCTCTTTCCTTTAGTTGTGAAGATGTAAAAGAACAAAGCCAAGACACAATATTTTGGTACAGCATGTGCTAGTTTGCTCAGGGGATTTCCACTGGTGTACTTACTCTTTTTGGGTGGGGCAGGAGATGCCTAAGGACCTAGAGAGAAACCTAGATATAGTGTGGGGAGCTCAAAGAAAAGAGAAGCCTCACTAGTCCTTCTAGAGATTCTGGGGGAGCAATGGTGCCTTCTCTACTTTCTTCACCCAGGTCTGGCTAGGCCTTTGGAAACTTAGGAAGAAGTTGCTTCTACCTACTTCTCCAGATGAGAGAGTTTCATTGTGTTATTTTGTCATTAATCTGTGAGCGAAGTGGAGAGCTAAGAAAAGCAGATCAGGAAAGATGCTCAGGGCACCTGAGTCTCCACCTGTAAAGTCAGGATCCCAGCAGTGGACTGAGGACAAAGCAGATCCCTGGATGCTGAAGCCTGATTGTTGTACACGTCCCCCTTCTCTTTTCCTGTCATTTCCTTATATCACTACCTTCTCTCTTCCCTCTCTTATATTCTGTCTTCCTTTAGTCTCACGCGTTCCTATGATGTGGTGAATCATAGAAAAGGAAAGGCATTTTATTGTTTCTCATTTACAAACAGAACACTGTTGTAAAACTCCCAGTATCAGTTGGTCACAACTTTCCTTTCTTCCTGTGTGTGTGTGTGTGTGTGTTTGTGTGTGCGCGTGCGCATGATCATTCAGACTATTAAACAGAGAAAGCAAGAACGATTTTCTTTTATTTTCCTACTGTAATAAGTTATGTCTACAACTTTGTATATCACAAGAAGAGTGCTGAAGAGCTCAGAGAACTCACCTTTTAGCCAGATTTGAAGTTCCTGGATAGGGGGTGGGAGAGGGTGTGTACTCTTTACTTGACTTGTTTACTGTTTGTTTTCTTAGTAAAAATCCACTCCAGGAAGCCCCAGGTTTTGTCTCTTTGTCCCAATCTGTAGGGACAAAGATTTTCCTAGGCAAATTTAGGCTTATTACTAATCCTCACTCTCTGAACTCATCCCTTAGGACCAGAAATTTCATTTCCATACTTGACAGAAATTATTAATTTAGTGGATCAGGCACCAACACGTCATCTCTTTCAGCACCCTTGGGAAACAAACTGTTTTAAGAGCAAAAGCACTTCTCAGAGTCCGTTTTTGTACAAGGCTTATAAAATAGTCAGCAACATTTAGTAATTTGTCCCTAATGAGAAAGATTTAAAAGTTACTCACCTTGTGATTGGACATTGAAGGACAATAAAATGAAACGGCAGCTCCAATAGAAATAATAAGCAGTATATGTTGTTACAGGAATATCCTGGGCAAAATCTGATGTTTAAAAAATACTCAGAAAGTTCCAAAACATGTTCTATGGAATCTGTGGAAGTGCCCCCCCATCACTTACCTTTCTTAATTAACAATAAGATATTATCCATAAGATGGGAAACAGTCTTGGGCACCTGCTTTCTGCTGGAAGAAAGAAATCCACACCAGCTCAGTGGAGTGACTGGGGACCCCCAAGAACTACGGGAAAAAAAAGAGGAAAACCCCCCAAGGCGTCAGGTAGGTGAGGATGATTGTAAGCAGACCTAATCTTGCTCTAGTCCTAAATGAATTGTCTTTAGCATTTTATCAGTGTGTGCTGAGTCAGTCCCTAGGGCTCTGAGGGGGAGTCCCAACATCATGAAGTTTCATTTCCAGGAGCACAACGTTTTCCTTGTTGTGGCTCTTCTTTTATTTCCCTTTCCTCCTTACCCTGTGTCTTCAGCCCCATGCCTAGCTGTCATGTCATGCAATGAGTTCTTTCTGGGCAGAGAAAGAACTGTTTGAAATCTCAGAGCTCTTTTGCACTGACAAGATTTTAGTCTCTGTCTTTGGATACAACAAAAATGCAGTCTTTGAGTGCCTGTTTTTCACTTTTTGCTGAAGAGATTTCTGCCAGAAAGAGAGTGTTTTGCCGTCAATACACGCACAAATTTTGATACAAACGTGAACCTGAATGTCGATCCTTGAGGAAAGTGGTATGCCTGTTGGCAATGGGTGCAGATCCTGGCACTTTGGGGGGCAGCCGGGGCAAGGTGTGGGTCTGTTTCTCCCTTCAGGCCCTTACCAACAGACAGTTCCCAGAAGGCTCCTGCTCACAGCTCTAGGGTCAGTGCCTTGTAGTGTTTTGGAGAAAAGTCTGGATTAAGTGACACCATCCTGAGCCATGGCCTGTGACTCTTTCTGCAGAGATGTCCTTGCAGGGAAGCTCTATGCAGGAAAGGCTATGCCTGCAGAACACTTTCCAGAGAACTGCGGTGCTGATTGCTGCACCAGTATCCAAATCCAGACAACTGGAAAAACTGGTAAGAGCCAGCCCTCAATCCTACTTCTTATGCTTCCCTTCCCTCTTAGAACCCAGAACCTGTGCAAATTAAGTCCTCAAGAATAGCACTGGTGTCTGATAATTTCCTAAGCTAAATATCAACATAAGCAAAGTGACCCTGAGTGATATTGTTCATGGAGTTGCCACACATAGAATTGGCAGATGTTCCTGAAAAAGAAGGAGCAAGGTCTGTCTGTTGGCAGATTACATGAGACTACGCTGAATTTTTAAGATACAACTGTTATTTCCAGATGCTTTCCAAGAAAACAGAGAAGTCCTACCTACTTTTGCTTATGGATGTGTAAACTTTTGTGCTTTTATTTATTAGTCTCAGGAGACTTTGGAATTTTATATAGGACTTTCATTTCTTTTTGTATGTATTAGTTGGGTTATTTGGCAGAAATGATGGAACTTGGAAATAGAGTGGTTCTAAGGAAGATGAAGCTTTATTGCTCTCTCAGAAGGTGACCCACGGCAGTGAGGCAGTTCCTTGGGTTCATTCAATTAGGTGCCCAGCCCACTCTTTCATATCCTAGGATGTTGCTCTTATCTGTGTCTTTAAGGTCAGCTGACCTGTACCATGATCTTATTCCAGAGTTTGAGAAGCAGATACAACAAGAAAGTGAAGAGGAGTCAGTTTCCTTTTTAAGAGCATGATGAAAATGGT